TGTTTGCAGCTCTTATCTGTACCAGTGTACATGCTCTGGTCTAGTCAGATTTATTTGTAAGATAGAATTGGGGTCATGGTAGTGGGGGGGGGGAGGAAGCATTAAAGAACTAGAGGAAAGTTGTATGTTTTGTTGGTGCTACACTGCACCCTGACTGTCTCTTCCTTGTGAACCTTCTGTAAGGGGATGTCCAGTTGCCTACAGATGGGCTTTGGGTCTCCGTTCTGCACTCGCCCCCATTCACATTGATAAAAGTTTTTGTTCTGGGTCTTTGATGCCTGAAACCTGATCCAATTGACACCTCATGATCACACAAGCTGGTGTGCTTCTTCCATGTGGGCCTTGTTACTTCTCAGCTAGAAGGCCACTTGTTTATCTTCAAGCCTTTAAGATCCCAGATGCTATATCTTTTGATAGCTTGCACCATCAGCTTTCCTCACCACATTTCCTTATGTACCCATTTGTCTTTAGTGATCGTGTCGGGAAGGTGAGCATCCCACAATGCTGTGTTCTTAGAACAAAGTGTTCTTGCATTGAGGGAGTACTTGAGTAGAGGCCTAACAACAGTCTTTATGGGAACAGATCACCAGTCTGCTCTTCTTTTATTTTTTATTTTTTTCAGTCTGCTCTTCTGTGGAGTAAGTTGTTGGTTGGTAGGTTGAACTTTTTAGTTCGCTGCTGAGTACTTAACCACTGCACCACTAGGCTTCCTACAAGGATCTACAATGATATTGTTAGCTACATATGTAATTTCAAATGTTCTAGTAGCCACACTGAAAAAGTACACAAGAAAAAAAAAGTCCTAATAAAATGATTTTTTTTAAAGTGAAGTGATTTTTAATAAATTTAATCCATTTCATTAGTAATTTTTATATTGAATGTTGAATTAAAAAAATATTTACCCTGGGTACATGAAGAATAATTTTTCAGCATGTAACCAGTATAAAAATCATTGAGGTGTTTTACAATTTGGGATACTTTTCTAGAGGAGAAAGGCCCCAAATTCAAGTATAATTTCTAGAGACCATTTAATTAGAGACAAAGGCAAAATGGAACCATCTGGGTGAGGGAGACCACCAGCATGAGGCCATCATGCCGCCTGAAGGATTTACAGCCATGTGATTAACTAGATAGAACATGCGAGAGAAAAAAAAGGAAGTTGCCACAGAACCCTGATTGGCAACAGATGAGTTCACTGCTATTGCAGGTGGGGCTTCCGAAGTGGAAAAGGGACCCTGATTGGTATACATACATGATTGCAGGTTAGAAAAGTTCGCAGGATTGGTTTTGGGACTTCCAAACCACTGTGGCTTGCAGTATGACTCCTGAACATTCACGCTTGGTACCCCAGTTTCTATTAAGGGCACACCTAGGCTGGGCTGGTTAGGGGAGTGGTAATAATCTACTTCAGAGTCCGCCTGTGGGCAAACCATTTCACATTGCAGGTTAATGGTCACTGTGATCAAGTCGATTCTGATATGTAGTGACCCTAAAGGACATAGTAGACTTGCTTATGTGAGTTTCTGAGACCAACTCTTTGAAAGGGATGGAAGCAAAATTTATGTTAGGACTCAAAATGAATTTAGTACTCCCACTGTAGACTAGAGCCTTCTGCAAACCAAGTTCTCAGAGTTTAAGCTCTAATACAATTACTAAATCTTGGACTTTGGTGTGTATTTTAGTTTATAGCACATTTCAGTTTGGGCCAGCCAGGCTTCAAGTGCTTAAATGCCCTATGACTACTTGTATTGTACAGTTCCACCTTAGATACTAGTGCTTCCTTTCTCTGGACTGACGTCAGACCACTTGGTCCAAGATTGAGAACAAATTCTTTGAAGTACCCAAATCCGAATCCAACCCACTGCCTTCAGTCGATTCTGACTCACAGTGACTCTAGGATAGGGTGAGGTTGCTCCTGTAGGTTTCTAAGACTGTCTGTCCTTCAGGGGAGGAAAAAACCTGAGGAGTAGCTGGTGACTTTGAACTGCTGACCTGTGGTTAGTAGCCTGATGTGTAACCCCTAGGCCATCAGGGCTCCTTCTGATGAACCAGGGTCTTCAAATAATTCATACTCTTTCCTCCTGTAAAACCTTTCATCACTGTCCCATGCCTGTTTCTCAGACTGCATGTAGAACTAGTCTCCCAATCTGTAGGCTCTCTATCCACCGCAGTGTGGTAAAGCTGGTTTCCTATTTTCTGACAGATTGTCAAAATTCTCTCTCTCCCTGGAGAACATAAGCTCCATGTGAGCAAGGACACTGCCTGTCTTGCTTACTGCTGTCTTCCCAGCACCGAGCTGCTACAGGATCGGTATCTATTGAATGAATACGTGGCATTGAGTATGAGGTATCCTGCACTGGCGTGGCTTTTAGCAAGTAAGAACGAGTCTTAGTCTACCATTGGGGAGTGCAGTGCAGAGAGATGAATTAGAACTGTGTAAGAGTCTTTTAACCTGGCTAGATGAGGGGATGTTGGTAATTCAGAGCTCAGGGGAAGGAGGCCTAGCAGCTTTTATGTTGAGGCAGGGAGCATTTTAGGGTGTCAGTGCCCCTTTGGAGCAAGGAGACCTGAACACAATTCTTGTGATGACAACTTGATGAAGTTAGGAATATTTCTCCTGGGTTTTAAACACCAAAGGTCACTTAGCTCAGCTTTCTGAACCTTTCACCCCTAAATATTGCCTAATTTTCCATTGAGGGTCTGGTTGGAAAATCAAGAAGAGCTTTCTAGCTATGTTCCTATACCCAAGAATGTTCTTGGGGTTGGTGCAGTAGAAGCAGGTTTCTTCCCATAGTTCTATTTCCATTTCTACATAGTTCTTATGTTTTTAATTTATACTTGGTCAATGTATAATTTATCTTGTGCATTCATTATTCTGAGCATCTGAATGTATTTAAAAAGTGAGAGGATGTTTTCAGTAACAGTGGAACCACTCACAGCTTTCCCTTGAACAAGAGTGATGGCATAGTAGAGTGGTTATTAAAAGGTGGAGTAGGATCAGATAGGGCTCCTGTATTGAGTCTCTTTCATTGTCATGTGACTAGGAGGAAGTTCCTAAACTTCTCTGTGCTGTAATTTCTTCACCTGTTAATTGGTAATAAGATGATCTACTTGATTGGGGTTGTAAGGATTACATGAGCTATGCAGTTCACACTTACTGGTACAGATAGCAGTGACTGCTGCCACGGCAGCACTGTAGCCCTTTCTCTCTCTCTCTTTTTTAACATCGTTTTATTAGGGGCTCATACATACGTCAGTTGTGTAAAGCACATTTGTACATTCATTGCCCTCATCATTCTCAAAACGTTTGCTCGCCACTTAAGCCCCTGGCGTTAGGTCCTCATTTTTCCCCTCCCTCCCCCCTCCCCCCTCCCTCATGAGCCCTTGATAATTTATAAGTTATTATTTTGTCATAACTTGCCCTATCCGACGTCTCCCTTCACCCACTTTTCTGTTGTCCGTCCCCCAGGGAGGAGGTCACATATAGATCCTTGTAATCGGTTCCCCCTTTCCAACCCACTCTCCCTCTACACTCCCAGTATCTCCACTCACACCACTGGTCCTGAAGGGCTCATCCGCCCTGGATTCCCTGGATTTCCAATTCCTATCTGTACCAGTGTACATCCTCTGGTCTAGCCAGACTTGCAAGGCAGAATTCGGATCATGGTAGTGGGGGTGGGGAGGAAGAATTTAGGAACTAGAGGAAAGTTGTATTTTTCATCGTTGCTACATCACACCCTGACTGGCTTGTCTCCTCCCCAAGACCCTTCTGTAAGGGGGTCTCCAGTGTCCTACAAATGGGATTTGGGTCTCCACTCTGCACTCCCCCCTCATTCACTATGGTAAGATTTTTTTTGTTCTGATGATGCCTTATACCTGATCCCTTCAACACCTCGTGATCGTACAGGCTGGTGGGAAGTTTCCAAGCCTGTATCTCTTTACAGGAGTGGAAAGCCATCTTCTGCAGAGCTGCTGATTGTGTTGAACCGCCCCTCTTGGGATCGCAGACCAAAGCTTCAGGACTCCTTCAGGACTCCTCTCCAATCTCTGGTCACCACCAAAGCAGTCTCTATACATTTGCTTATTTTAGATATTTAATGTAATGGGATCATGAATAGATGTTTGTCTTTTTGGACATAACTCACTTCTCTCAGCATAGTGTTTTCAAGTTTCATCCTTGTTGTATATGCGCCAGATTTTCATGTCTCTCTAGCTGACTGGTTCCTCAGTGTATGGATATAGCACATTTTGTTTGCCCATCTTTCAGTGGCTGAACACTTAGATGTTTCATCTTTGGAGGGTTGTGAGTAGTGCTGTGGGAGCATTGGTCCATTCGTATCTCTGCTTTCCATTTTGGGTCTATACCTAGGAGTGGAATTGCTACATCCTGGTTATTCTATTGTAATTTTTGAGGAACCATCAAAACTTCCCATGGCAACTGCCATTTCATATTCCAATAAGCAATGGATGAGGGTTCCAGTGTTCCCATATCTTTTCCAACACTTGCTATCACTCTCTGTCCCTCTTTTCTGGTGGTATAGAATAACCATTTTAGCTGGTCTGATCTCTTTTCTCTGTGCTTTTGATTCTTTGGGGAGTGGAATTGAAATTGGTAGGGCATCTGGTTATTCCCATGGTATAAAGTGGTATTTCATTGTGGTTTTGACTTGCGCTTCCCAAATGACTTATGATGTTGAGCGTTTTTCATGTACCTGCTCCACTTATATATCTTCCTAGGAAAAATGTCTGCTCATGTCATTTGTCTGTTATTCAGACATTGTCAGTTTTAAAAAGGAGAAATTTAACTCTCTTCTATTAGTAAAATATGTAATAATGATGACAAAAATATTTGCGGGAGAAGAAGAGATTCTTCGATACCCTTTAGACTGTCAGAGAGGTTTAGTGGTGATTGGACAAAGTACTCATTACCAGTGTTCTCTTGTTAAGATTTTTTTCCCCAACATGGTGTTACAATTTGGCTTCTAAATATTATTTTTCAGTTAACAGAAGATGAAATTGCAACCATTCTTAAGTCCACATTGAAAGGGCTAGAATATTTGCACTTTATGAGGAAAATACACAGAGACATAAAAGCGGGGAATATTCTTCTCAATACAGAAGGACACGCAAAGCTGGCTGACTTTGGTGTGGCTGGTCAGTTAACAGTAAGTATAAGACTTTGGGGGGAAATCTTTTGGGCGGGTCTCTAGGCGTCATTGTGACTAAACTCTGATAACCCTTTTGGGAAGGCAATGGGTAACTTCATACTTGTGCAGAAGAGCCAGAGTTTGAGTATTATGTATTCATTTTTAAATTTAGAAGACGTTGAATTAATATGAAAATATATATTGTTACGCATATACTTAAATGTTTTAAAACAGAAACCGTATTGGTAAATTTCTCAGGCTTTTATTCTTACAGTACTATGTGTAAAAACTTTAATGAAGATAGTTGTGGACTTGGTTATTTTAGAATTTAAAATTCCTAAGTATTCCCCTTCAGTGGTTTCAGATATAATCTGTGGTGTTTGCGGGTTGAACACATGTTCTACAGGATATGTTGGCATCCAGATTTCCTTAGTTTCCTTGTGGTGATAATTATGTGTGTGTAATGCTGTTGCAGGATACAATGGCAAAGCGCAATACTGTGATAGGAACTCCATTCTGGATGGCTCCGGAGGTCATACAGGAAATTGGCTATAACTGTGTGGCAGATATCTGGTCTCTTGGCATCACTTCTATAGAAATGGCCGAAGGGAAACCTCCGTACGCTGATATCCATCCAATGAGGGTAAGAAAATTATAGTTTGTTCACAGTAATAACTGTTAGGGTTTTATAATGTCCGTTTATAGCACATGTAGACTAAAGTAAATAAATCCATTTCAATTTGGACTCTGCAAAAAAAAAAAAGAAATCTATCAAAGATCAGTAACTGTTAAACTCTATTCCTTTCATATACTTAATTGTCAGAAGCAAAACGAAAGTTACATTTCTTTTTGTAACCATTGTCTTTCTCTCCAAAATATACGTGTAATTCTCCTCTAGTTCTTAAATGCCTCTCCCCCCCCCACCCCACTTCACAGCAGAAGAAAGTGCTGGTAATCCTATGTTCTTCATCTGTGTTTGTTCAGCATGGTATGGGAGGAAATCAGTTGTCACTTTTTAACCCACATTCTACCTTTTTGTGTCTTTCTTTGGCTGAAGCTCATATGAAAAAAGCTTGATTTATAGCATTGCCACTGCAGGGACAGTGAATTATTTAATGTGGCTCTTTCTGCCAGTCTCTAACTCTCACCAAACGACCTTTCACTGCGTGGGTCTGGTAGGAAGGTGGGGTAAGATACTAATAGGATTTGCCTGTAATTGTGCAGGATTCTCTGCAATGCCATTCTGCTGTGTATAAATAGAGCCCACTGAGAAACAGGGGGGCGGGGGGAGCTCATCACCCACAAGAGCCCAGACTGGAGCAAGACCTCTGGCCCCAACAGCTGGCTTAGCCCAGCCTAAATCTTTAGATTTGGGACTGAACAACACCTACCACCATGTGAGACATTCCTTCATACTTCTGTGAACTTCTGTGGGATGCTGCAACACTTTGCAGAACCCAGAAATGTTGAGGGAATAGACTCAAGGCATGAGCTGGGGGAAAAATGGAGCAGGCTAGCATCTTGGAAGAGTTGAACATTTGGGACTTCTTTAATCTCCAACTCATTGGGACTAGTTTGGTGTTAGTTCTTAACAAAAGAAATGTTCACCACACCTACTACTTAGCTGTAAAGTAATTGAGATTATTCCTTTGGTTGGAACTTAGTAAGAAAATGGAATTTTTTTTTTTTGGGGGGGGTATTGTTCTACACTTGTTTTTGAAGCATATATGTTGCATATTCAAGTTTAATTCCTTATGCTGTAGGGCTTGTTTTTAGGTTATCTTTGTAAGCTTATTGCCCTCTAGTGGCTATATTCACCTCAAGGAGAAAAGACAATGGTGGAGGGCAGAGCCAGTCTGTGCACTAGGTCGCCAGAAGAGACGGTGGTATCAGGGTGACTAGAGAAAGTGTGAAGTTGATGGGTAGTGAAAGAAAGAAGGAATGCATTCGTTTAGAAGTCTGAAGAGCAATAAATTGGAATTGTATCTGTGATCATAATGCAATTTGTGGTAACGGTATATTATATTGAAAGTATTAACAAATCTGACTCTTCTTGAGAAGTTTGAAATCAAGTTCTTTGAGTAATTCAGTTGAATACAATGTGTGTCATATTCTTTGTCCATATAAATCCTTGCTCGAGTCCAAAATAGATAATATGAATTGCTGTTTATTTGAAAATAACCTGTAAATAAGACCAGCATCAGGAGCAAAATTCTCATTTCTCCTCTGATTGTTAGTTAGCGGATAGTATTTTTCATTAGGATGTTTTTAGGGTTACCCTCAAACTAGGTGTGCTTGAGTTTCAGCTAGTGAGGCTAATTCACTAATTACCCAATGCAACCCAGGTAAGTTCCAGAGCTAATATAGCATTAGTTATATTTTATTTCCTCCTTGAGCAAACTAGTTCATCAACTAATTTCACACATTGAATTTGTGCTGGTTTCTTTAGTAAAGTATTGTAAAATATGTACCCTCAATTCAAGGATATAAAATTTCGCTTGAGAGTTTGAATTAGGACATGAAATAATACAAAGACTTCTTAGGATTCCACCCGTCTAAATCGTACTCATTTTAAGCCCTACCCATAAGCTTCATTCTTTGTAGAGCCTTCCTTGACAGCCATGAGCAAAGCGGATTTGTTTTTTCTCCTAGTCTATACACAAGAGAAAGTAAAAACCTGTTGCTACTAGGGTTCCATTTCCTACATGCACACTTATTGCAAACAAAGCGTGTTTCTGTGCTCAGTGAGTGGGGTCAGACCGCTCTTTCAGTAATACACTTGTCTTAGTCTCCTTTTGGTTTCTTTAAAAAAGTAAAAATAGTTCCAATCAAAATACTGGCCTCTCAGGGGATCTGTGGTCCAGTTAAATTCAAGGTAGAGAGGTCAGTTCAGAAGGTCATGGTGACTGTGTTTTGAAATTTCAAAGGGTGAATTTGATAGATTTTCTTGAAGGATACTAGAAGAGATCATAGGGGTTTATTAAGAAGAAAGTTTTAAAAAAACATTTTATTAGGGGCTTTTAAAATTAAATAATCATTTTATTAGGGGCTCATACAACTCATCACAATCCATACATATATAATTTGTGTCCAGCACATTAGTACATATGTTGACTTCATCATTTTCACAACACCCACTTTCCACTTGAGCCCTTGATGTCAGCTCATTTTCCCCCCTCCCTCCCTGCTCCTCCCTCCCCCTGAATCCTTGATAATTTACAACTTATCATTATTTTATCATATCTTACCCCATCCAACCTTTCCCTCACCCACTTCTCCACTGTCCGTCCCCCAGGGAGGAGGCCACATGTAGACCTT